GCCATCCTCATCCTTTGTTTGTACGCTGCCACTCTGGTCGATGCACGCTCTCGGATTTCATCAATTGTGTCCAATGTTGGTCGTATCAGCTCCTCATTTTTTTCTTGATCGTATGTGATTGATCGTTGGAAATCCAACTCGATCTCCACTAATAGTATTGCTTCCATCCCATATGCTAAGTTGAATGGAGTCTCGCCCGTCGTCGACCTTGGGGTGGTCCGGTACGCACAAAGTACAGAAGTGAGTTCATTGACCCACGCCCACGAGGCTTTCTCCAGCCTTATCTTCAGCCCATTCAAGATATGGTGACCTCGACCTGCCCGTTAGCTTACGGATGAGCTATTGAAGAAAAGTGTTGTTCAATTTTCATGCCTTCACACCATGCTCGAATCCGATTGCCATTGAATTGAGTTCCATTGTTCGAGATCAACACCTTGGGCATGCCGAACTTGCAACAAATATTGTTATATAAATAGTGTATGATTTTGTCCTCCGTGATCTTGGCTAGGGGTTCGACCTGCACCCACTTAATAAAATAATCGACTGCCACGATAAAAAATTTCCTCTGACCGGTTCCCTTCGACATTGGCCCCACCAGGTCGATGCCCCACTACGGAAATGGAATTGGGGCGCTCATCGTGGTCATCATCTCTGCTGGTTAGTGAATGAGTGGACCATGTTTTTGACATTGCAAGCACCTCTTCACCATCGAGACTGCATCCGCCCTCATAGTTAGCCAATAGCCAGCTCGAAGAATATTCGCTACCAATGATCCCATTTTGATATGGTAACTACAACACCCCTTATGAACCTTTTTTAAGACATATCTCAATTTCTCTTCCGTTACACACCTCAAGTGTGGTCCTAAATATTATCTCTTATAGAGGACCCCCGCGCTACTTGAATAACCTTTTGACAGACTACAAATTCCCTTCTTTCAAATCCCGTCAGATAGGGATCCTGCAATCATCGACCTCTTGAATCTCTGCTATCTTGATCTCAATCGTGCTTTTATCTATGTGTAACAAAGTTACACTCCTGCTTTTGCAGTTGAACAGATTCTAGGCTATTTTCGACAAGAGTTCAACCCTTCCATTCTCTCCTCTTGGTATCTGAATCAGCTAAAAAATATCAAATTCTCCCTGCAACTTCTTCATCTCATCAACATATTTTTACATCATTTCTTCCTTGACCTTGAACCCATCCTGAAGCTGTCCTATGACCAAGCCTTGACCACAACTAATTGTGCTCCTCTTTTCGACACTGAGCCATCTACAAACAACTACCATCTACTTTCTGATTCGACCTTTCCTTTGGTTCCTTCATAAATGAAATCTACTAATACCTAGGCCTTTTATCGCCCTCCGAGGATCATACGAAATTGAATATATACTCACTCAACTCCACCGCCCATTTTACCAATAGACTTGAAACTGAAGGTTGACAAGGCATCGCCCTCAATGGAATACTTGTTCACACCCTCACCTTGTGAGTTAGAAAATACGACCTCAGTTTCTTTACCGTAACGACCACTGCCAACGCCCCTTTCTCAATATTTGAATACCTCAGTTCAGCTCCCTGCATTACTCGGCTGACATAGTAAATCGGATATTGGACCACTATCACCTCTCGTAACAATATCGAACTGACTTCCGCCGCACCAATCAAAATTTATAAGGCCAGGTCCTCCACATGAACTGGGTTGGCCAACAAGGGTAAATCTGCTAATATAACTTTCAACACCTCAAATTCCTTCTGCGCCTCCTCAATCCATTGGAATTTCAAGCTCTTCTTCAAAGTTATAAACAAAAGACTACTCCGCTAAGCCACCTTCGAGATGAATCTACTCAAACCTGCAATTCAACCTGTCAAGATCTGGACCTCCTTCACACTCTTTTGGAGCTGAAACTCCAAAACGGCTAGCACTTTCTCAAGGTTCACCTCGATCCCCTTCTTGGTCATTTATACCAGAGAAATTTACCTGATAGAAGTGGAGATAGAGAAGCTGCTCGAGGCGGGGCATATCCAACCTATCCAGTTCCAAGAATGGCTGTCGAATATAGTCATGGTAAAAAAGGGAGAAAGGGAAGTGAATGATGTGCATCAACTTTAGGGACCTAACTAAGGCTTGTCCCAAGGATCATTATCCCCTTCCACGGATAGAACAACTCGTCGATTCCACAGCTGGTTGTGAGCTGCTAAATATGATGGACGCTTCCCAAGGGTACCACCAAATTACCTTAGCCAAGAAGGAGGCACTTATTGTTATATAGTGATGCCTTTTGGACTAAAAAACAATAGGGCTACCTACCAACGACTGGTAGAGAAGATGCTTAAGGAACAAATTGGTCGTAACATAGAGGTATATGTCAATGACATGTTAGTAAAGAGTTGGAGGGCAGAGGATCACATGACAGACCTGCGAGAAACCTTCATTACACTATGACACTATGGCATGAAACTCAACCCCACTCAATGCAAGTTGGGTGTGCAGTCAAAAAGGTTTATGGGGTATTTGGTAGCAGAGAATGGAATAAAGGTAAACCGGGAGAAGGTGCGAGCTGTTATTGATATGCAGGCCCCAAGGAACTTAAAGGAAGTACAAGTTCTCACTTAATTCCTGGCAGGCTTAAGTAGATTCATAACCCACCCTACTTAAAGTTTTTTGTTTTTTTGCGCTTTGAGGAAGGGATATCACTTTGAGTTGACTCCGCAGGCACAACAGGCATTTGAGAGACTGGAGGAGATTTTGGTTGAGCTCTCCCTGTTGACGAAGCTAGTACCCAGGGACGTTTTAGTAGTCTACATATGAGGGGGCGAGGAGGCTATCAACTTGGTGCTTTTAAAAGAAGAGCAGGGTCAGTAGATGCCAATATACTGCACTAGTTGAATATTGCAGGGTGCGGAGCTTAAGTACTCAGATTTGAAAAGGCCGCCTTAGCACTCATTTCCACAGCAAGGAAGCTTCGCCTTTACTTCTTAGCTTATAAAATTATGTTACGGACAAATTACCCGCTTAAAGATACCTTGGGTCGCCCGTCAACTTCAGGAAGAATGGCGAAGTTGGTAGTTGAGTTAGGGGAATACAATGTGGAATTCGAAGTGCAGCGGGCTATCAAAGCTCAAGCCCTGGATGACTTCATACATGAATGTACTATGGATGAGGAGGTCAGATTATGGATGTTGTATGTTGATGGATCTTCAGCTATAGGAGGCGCCGAGCTAGGCGTATTAGTCGTCATGTTTGACAAGGACCATTTGGAATTCGCCGTTAAATTATCCTTTAGAGCGTCAAATAATTAGGTTGAATATGGGGCCTTTTTAAATGGGCTTCAGCTCGTCCTGAAAGAGAGAGCTCACCGGGTAATTATCCATTCAGACTCCCAGTTGGTGATGGAGCAGGTTAAAAGGGAGTACGAGGGGGAGGAGGACCGCATGAGAAGATATGTGACGAAGGCCCACTCGACGCTGAAAGGTATCGTGACTTGCGAATTAGTACAAATACCTCGGGGAGAAAACTGCAGGACCGACCTCTTTTCCAAGATGGCTGCATCGCTGGTAAATTTCCAGTCGAGGTCGATCACCCTGCTGGATATGACAACAAGTGCTTTGGAGCAGGTGTTGGAAGTGGAGGAACGAGAAGATTGGAGGTCGCGTCTGATCAAATGGCTTCGGAATCCTATTATTATAAAGGATGTAAGGGGTGATCCCATCGTCATATATATATATATATGAATATGAAAGAGAGAGAGAGAGAGAGAGAGAGAGAGAGAGAGAGAGAGAGAGAATAAAATCTGCGTTTGCGAGGAAGAACCGATTAGGCTCCTTTTATTTCGATCCACTTCGTCGAATGAGATAATGAGCCCGGGAAACCACTCTAGGAGATTCGAGGAAATCCCTGGAGGCTACACCTAGATAATAATCATCCAGAAACCTCATTTGGAAAAAGGTAGCTCACGAGAAAAAAAAAAAAAGATTGAATAAAATGAGTTCGTGAGAGTTGAAAGGATTAGACTCCACTTGACTCGGTTAGTCTCCTTCAAGATGGATTGGTCAATGAGTATGAAAAACGGGTCTACGGACTCGGGGAAGAACTCCGAGGTTAAACCTAGGTAATAATAGTTCTAACAACCCTCATTTGAAAAATTTGACTCGTTTAAGAAAATGAAAAAAAGGGAAAATAAAAAAAAGGGAGAGTTGGCATTGTTGGTTTCGTGCTTGTCATGTCTTATATTGTGAGTAGACCTTCTATTGATTTTTACACGTGTATTTAGAATTGGAAGTTGAATCGAGTAACCAAGTGTAGAGTGACATTGGACGAGTTTTTGTTTTGTATGAATTCATTTTGTGAGGACTGTGTTTTCGAATTGGAGTTTAATTATAAGGATAACTAGGGGAAGAAGAGAGTTTATTTTAGCACGATCATTATTTATGGACCTTTCGATCTTTCTTCTCAAACTACTTGTTGTTTTGTTTGTGTGAGGACAAACAAAGAGTTAAGTGTGGGAGAGTTTTGTTTTGTGTTTTTCGTGTGTTTTTTGTGCATTAGTCGAGTCATTTTAGGTTCGTTTTAGTGTTAACCAGTCTATTTTGTCGTGTTTCATGTATTTTTGCTCTCGTCTTTGCTTTTGTGTTTTCGCGTATAGTTTGCAAAGTTCGGGAAGATGAGCTACCCGATACATTGTCGAGCCATCCCGAGATCATTCCGAGGCATCTCGAGTTGTTCAAGCCATTTTCGAGTCCTTACCTGCGCACCAGCCGCGCCTGACACTCGCCCGTGATATGTCATCCACGAGCACACAAGACAGCCCGCTAGAGACTAAGGCTACACGCAGCACTCGCAACCAGGACGCCTACCCGCGACCTCGCGAGTGCACCGAGAAGAACATGGAACTCGTGACTCGGATGCCTACTCGCCACAGCGCGAGCGCTGCCAAGGAGCACAAGGTACTCGCACTCTGGACATTTACGCATGAGCGCGTGAGTACGCTAAGAGGAGATTACACAGTCGCGACCCCAACGCCTATCTGCGAATGCACGAGTGAGGACCTCAGAGACCAGTGTATGAGAGAGCACTTGCGACCCGACTTATTGTCCACGAGCGCGCGAGTCCAGGCCACTCGAGACCAGTCACTCGCGACCCCGGCACCAGCTCGTGACTGCGCAAGTGCTGTCGAGAGGAGCCCGAGAACTCTCGACCCGAGACAGCGTCCGCGAGTGCGCAAGTCCAGACCACGCGAGACCAGGTACTTGCGACCCGAGACAGTGCCTGCGAGCGTGTGAGTGATGACCCGTGTCAGCACCACACTTGCGACTCGACCTGAGCCCTGCGACCCTGCGAGTGCTGTCGAGGCCAACCCGTGCACACCTTGCCACTCGCGACTCCAACACTGATTCGCGACCTTACAAGTGTAGAATATTCATTAAAGGTGTGTGTTTTTAGTGTGTGTTTGTGGTTTAGCTCTTTTTCTCTCATTTTTCTATCTTTGAGTCTGGAGCTCTATGACTCAATTTTTTGGGAAATTTCGGCGACTTTGTTGTTTTTAATGATTCAAGCTTTTCACTCCGATTTTCTTCGAGCATGGAATAGGAGAATGAGTACTTAGTTTTAAGATTCATTACTTCGTTTTTGCTCCTCTTTTACTTATGAAGCTTTTCAAGATAGAATTGGTGTCTTGCATGAGAATTACGGTAAAGTTTGAATCTTTCTATTTTTCTTACTTGTCTAAGGTGATTAGGAGTTAATTGCGTGCTTATCTTGTGTTAAAAGTTGTTCAAAGCTTGATCATTTAGTCTAAAAGACTCGTGTTATTAATTACCTAGGACCTTAGTACTAGCATGTTTCAATTTGTTTATTCTCGTTTTTCTTGAGTTATGGAGACTTCGGATGACCAAAGTTCGAATATTTTCTTCCAAACTTGCATCTTTGAGTTAATTGCTTTCAATTGCTTAGGTTAAATTAGTTTAACTTCAATCCTCGAATCTTGTTATCATGTTTAGGACCTTGTTGTTTGTATGTTGTGACGACTAGTTAGTAAACAAAGCTCCGAAAAATCTTCCTCAAGAGACACGACCCGAAGTCGATCTTTTGATCGTACTCGGCTAAAAACAACTTATTAACACTGGCCACAACTCGTGGACTTCAAAATAGCTATAGATCCCTCTTAGCTGCAAAAACAATTTACTTAAGCACTCAAAGTGTTCGTGAATTAAAAACAAAAATCAATTTTTTAGTGATGTAAGAACACACACTGTATCACTGTATACAAATGCAAAACAAAAATCTCACGAACACTCAAATTAAAGTTCAGAATATTGACTACCGATAATTACAACAACCTTTATTTGAGTCTTTGATCAAGCATATTTATAAACTCCTCAAAAGTAATGAGCCTTCACATACCCATGCATTGACTCATTTTCACGAGGAGTTAATTTCCTTCCATAGTATCTCCTGAAAGTCTTGGACACGATCTCCTTCTTGTTGAAGTCGAGATCTTCTTTTATCGATCAATTCCTTCCAGTTTCTTGTGACTCACGATCCTTCCTAGAAAAATAAAAAGAAAAAGTATTATAAGAAGAGGTTTATTAAATGTAAACATTATATATTATATACTCATATATATTTTTTTATCACACTAAATAAATATAATATTTGAGGAAGTAAATTGAATACAAGAGAGAAATTGAATATTCCCTTTTAATTTGTTTTTGTTTGCCTTACCAAGTAAATCATCAAGATATTAGTTTCTCAAACTCTTGTCAAAATTAAATCTTACATTTCTTAAACATGTTTGATTAAGTTCATCCACACATTTTCAGTCCTAAATCAATCCTTGATTTACTTTATGTCAAATAGCAATATTTGATTTACTTTATGTCAAATAGCAATTTTACCCATCCAAAAAAATAAAATAAAATGAAAGAATGCTTAATTTTACCCAATTCCTCTCACGATGCAAAACCTAATTCGCCGCTAGCAATCCCCAATTCGTTGTCGATTCTCCTTCCTCGGCGACGGCGGGGCCCTAGCCAGCGGTCGCCCTTGATTGCTCGGCCCGTCCCGAATGTCTTGCGCCTCTGATGTTGCTGCGGTTCTTCTGTGTGGTCCGCCCTTCAGTCGCCGGCGGATCTGCGTTTGGAATTCCCCGAGAAGTTTCGCCACAAGCACTTGAGAATTCTGTCGAAAGAGTCCCTTCACTGCTTGGAGTTCCCCGAGAAGTTTCGCCAACGTTAGCAAAATCTTGTTCATGTGTAGTTCAGGTGAAACTGGTCAAAACTCTTAGGCAGTGAATTGAGGATAATATCAACCTGAGTTTCTGCATCGATTTATCCTCCAGGGATCTCAAAATCATTGAATTGTTCCATTAGCCTAAGGAGATGATCCCTTACGGGAGTGCCATCTACCATGGAAGTCGACAACAGAATTTTCATAGTCAGCTGTCAGGCTACCCGAACAGCTCTTTTAGATTTATAAGCATTTCATGAGTAGTACCCATGGCCTGATGTTGGTGATGCATCACATTGGTCATAGAGGCCTAAATGTAGCAGCGAGCCATCTCATCTTCCTTGATCTACTTTCGATATATCTCTTTCTCATGATCCGGGGCATCATCAGCTGGGACATCCGGACAGACCTCAGTGAGCACAAATTTGTACCCCTCTGTTGTCAGTACTATGTCTAAGTTCCTTCTCCAATCAGTGTAATTAGGACTAGCTAGTTTGCTTTCTTTTACAATGACAAACAGCAGATTGAAAGACATGTTGAATATAGCCTGAACATCATGAATCATTTTACTGATTGAAAAATTGAATTTAATTTGTTAATATTGGTATTCTAAGAAAATAATAACTTAAATTCAGTTGTTTAATCAGTAAAATGTTAATACTATTCTTTCTCGTTGTGTTTTTGATAGCTCCACTGGTGAGAACTACTACGGCGAGTGGGTGTAGGTGGTGAAGAGGCCACGCCCCTAAAAAAATATTAACTTAAATTCACCGGCATCTCGTAAAACCGAGAGTCCGCGCATGCTATGTTGGGTGACTCTACGCTCGCTCAACATTTGTAAGATAATGGTGTTTCAAATACTCATTAACTTTTATAAGCCAAACCCCAATTAATGACGAATAAAATTAGTAATCGGTTACCTTTTGGCCACATAGTAAAAGTCCGTCAACTCCATTGGGGAGGAGTTCTTTTATTATGTTCTAAGTGAAAACATTACCTAACCCAAGGAAGATTATTCTTTGATTGTATGTCCTCCGTTGGGGAGGTCCACATGCTCAAAAATAATTCTTACGATTATCTTTCAAAACTTGTTCTACTGATCTTACAATTAATTTTCACAATGTTTGTTGTTGGAGAGGTCCATGTTGCAATTAATTGCATCACCACAAATCAGTAATGGAGGCCTTAAGAATATTTTAAAATTCACTTTTAATTTTAAAATTCCTTCTCAACTTAGCAATTAGATGAGGATTTTTAGTTTTGCAATTCCTAATTAATCACATGCATAAAGTCAACAGATAAATTACCATGCAAATATGGACATAATAAAAACATGACAATTAAATCCACTATCATGGCCATCATTAAAATCTCACTACAGTAGAATCGGATCAAATCTACTGATTTTTCTAATCCACATAGAAATCTCACTACAGTAGAATCCTTGTTAAGGATTGTTGCCTTGTCCGTCAAGTCCCCAAATTGCCATCGCACGGAAGCCATCGTGTCATCCAGTCGCCGCCGTGAAACTCGTCGGAAAAAAATTCTCAGATCGATCACGTCTAGGACCCGTTTTTAAGTGAGCCACTGCCCTGCGTTCCCAGGTCACTTGCGCACACGGGCCAGTGCCTGTGCGTAACGTGCAGCCAGTTGTGGCGTCACTTTCGGGTTCACAGCCGCTGCTGTACGTGCTCGACATGAAGGTCGCGCCATGCTCGGGTACACGCTAGGAACTCGCTCGCCAAGCATGACGACCTTCTCGCGTTATTCCCTGTGCCCACGCGCATCCGCTGGTCGCCGGAGACCCACGAAAAACTCGCGCGTTGGGTCGCTGCGAGCCTTGCATCTGGGTGACCTCGGCAGCTATCTGTCAGGTGCTCGCACACGCTCGCGTAGGCCTAGATGCACGTTCTCGAGTTCCTTGGGTCAAGTCAAGTCGTCGAGTCTCTGTGGGTCGTCTTGATCCCCCATTTGATTCGTACACAATCACGATCAAAATTTAATCAAATCGAAAATTTCAATTTTGATCATAGACTCACGAATGGGTTTACATGTTTGCCTACGAAAGTGAATAAATCTATTTGGTGTCCCAACGGACGAATAATTATTACAAACATTCAACCATTATCCTCGACATGCCCGAGATTTTGAAAACCGAAACCATGAAATAAAATTAAATCGCATCACATCAAGCACATAAAATCACATATGTCATAATAGTGGATTGTACTACTCCAGCAAAATCGAGTTATGCACACATACACACACACACAGACACATACATATATATGATGTAGTTCGAATGAGAATCAAGTCATAGCGTGAGAAGCGCTATTTTTAATTGTTAAAGTGCTATGATTTATTATGTTTTAGTGCTATTTTTAACCAATATGTATTTTATTAAAAATAGCAACACAATTTATATTAACATTTGTGTAAATGATAGCATAATGTAATACTAAAAATATCATCATACACAATTAAAAATAGTATGAAATATGGTTCTCGCGGTTCTCACAACAGGACTAGTTTTTATTTACTAGTCTTGTTGTGAGAACCGCGAGAACCATATTTAATGTTATTTTTAATTATGTATGATGTTATTTTTAATATTATATGATGCTATCATTTTCGCAAATTTTTAATATAAATTGCGTTGCTATTTAATAACATACATTCTTCGTTAAAAATAGTATTAACACACAATTAATCACAACATTACATACAATTGAAAATAGCGGTTCTCACGCTAGGACTTGGTTCTCATTTGAATCTCATCCTATATATATATATATATAGGGAGTGGTTCAAATAAAAACTAGTTCTGGTGTGAGAACTGTGAGAA